AGTCGGCATAAGTTGTATAAAACATTAAAGCGTATTACAGATTTTAATCTAGGTTGAGAGTCATTACCATGACATTCTCTAAGTGCCAACAGATCTTTGTTAAAACTTTGTTATGCCTTTTTCTTTTCTTTATTCAGGGCTCATCCTATGAATCCCATCTTAAACGTTATTTATTTACTTAAAGTTCATTTCTAGACCAAACTGTTAAATTTAAAGCCTTAAACAGTTTATTATTTACAAAACCAATGAAACAGCCATCGCCACACACCACATTACTGCCTTGCACATTACAGAGGATGTGCTGCAGCTTTCATTTACATACTTTGGTTCAGTTGATCCTCCTGTATCTTTGCATACTCGCTTTTCTGTTGACCTCAGTCTTGCCGTGCTGTCTTTTCGTGGATTTCAGGAAAAGCCTGGATTTACGTTTCGCTGGTGCATAATGTCTCAGTGCTTGTATATGAAACACGGTGGCTCATGTGTGTTTAGAAAACACATGCCCGCATTGTGGGGAAGAACACTTTCCTGTCTGTGCTGAAAAACGCGACGTGTTTATACAACTGCAGCCGCCTATTAAATCTGACATATCTACAAACAAGACATTGGTTGCATCTAAAACTCCCACATTAGTTTCATGATAACAGGGCTTTAGGTGGGCAATAAGTACAAAAAGTAGTAAATTTTCTCTAAATTGACTTGGTTACGCACATCATGTACATGCCATTTTAGTATAATCTGTTTAAATGATAAATGCATGGCTAAATCACTCCTGCAGAGATTTTCACTGGGAATCTGGCAATAAAATCTGCAGTTTTCAATTTTATCATGTCTTTTTGTCCCTTTTAGAACCAGGTTCCCTTTCTCCCACTGTCTGTTTCTCACCCTGACTCTGTTTTTCACCCTGTACCATTAGCAGCCCCCCGTCTGTCTCACTGCTGCTCCTTTACCAATGTGCCAGGGAGCTCAGTCAGCTGATAACACCAAACTAATATCTGAGTGTGCATGCTCATCAGGTGTGTGCTCAATGTGTTTTAGCTGCATAAATGTGTGTGTGAGTGTGTGTGTTTGTGAGACATGTTACAAATGCCTGTCCTGTCTCTTTTTATGAGCTCACTCACCCAAACATCCTCTGGCTCATTTGCAGTCAGGGCCACAAGCCACTATTCTGCCTGCTGAGCCACGGAGAGAAGGGCAGCTTAAACATCACACACACACACACACACACACACACACACACACACACACACACACACACACACACACACTGTATTTCTCATTCTGTCTCTTGCGCTTACACACACACAGAAGCTGGGACGAGCAGATGAGAGGATGTGACCATCAAATCAGTGACATTTCAAANCACGCACATGAAGGAGGTGCAGCAGAGCTCAGAGTGTTACCAAGAAGTCTCCACGATAATCCACTTCTCCTCTATCCTGTCCCATTAACCTCTCACACACACACACACACACACACACACACACACACACACACGCTGTATTTCTCATTCTGTCTCTTGCGCTTACACACACACAGAAGCTGGGACGAGCAGATGAGAGGATGTGACCATCAAATCAGTGACATTTCAAAGCAGTAAGAGAGATGCACGACTCTTCCTGGACCTCCTCAGACATGTTTTAAATGAAATGTTACAGATGAGCTCCCCCGTGCCTTGGCTGTAAACATCCTTACACTGGTATTTACCCCAGATGGGTAAACACAGGAGGACTACTTTTCATGCTAGCTCATGCTCGCCCATACACACAGATGCACATCAATACACAGAGCAGAGCTCCACAGTCTCACATGATCACCATAATGAAAAATGGCTCGGGTCAATTTGTCGCTTTATTATTACATTTAAACATTCCATTATAACAAACATGTAGCTGAAGTGACAAATGAAGGCACCGAGACCATATTTTTTTTCTCAAACTGCCATTCGATCTCAAGAAAAAGAGGTCTGGTTTACATTTTTGATTCTCTGCACCTCCACTTTGCCAGGCTCTCAGTGAGCTGCTGCTTGTATCCGCTACGTTTTCATGCCGTCTGCGAGACTTAAAACACGTTTTCAGCGCCAACAAAAATGAAACTCATTGTTTTCTGCAATGAAAATTTTGGACCACTAAGTCCTCCATTTATTACTGTTTGGGGCTTTTTGTTATTGAGTCTGTGTTTTACCCTCTTATATCATAAATCTCTTGGAATTGGAATAGAAGATTCTTTTCCTTTAATGCTTCATCCAGTAACTGCATCTTCACAATCGCATGTGATGACTGCAGCGTACCGCAGATGTTCCAAGTTTCTCATTTTAGATCTTCATAAATTCCAAATCGTTCACTGCTTGTTCAAAGTTTGTGTTTGCTAATCCATCACATCAACACACAGAATCAGTCACTGTTCGAACCTTGTTTACGAGGCTAATCTTGGTCTGCTTCCTCCATATAGAATGACTGAAATACATTTGGAAGTTATTGTCTTTATATGCAAGATTTACAATTGATATTTGTTCCCAGAGCATCAATAAAGTTTTAAAAAATGAAATTAAAGTGTGCTTCATCTTTGCACTAAATTTGGTTTCAGAACATCTTAAAGGGCCAATATTATGTGTTTCTCAGGCATATATTTAAATACTATACCATAATAAAGTGTCTATGTCACCTTTGGCTGTTATTAAAATGCTGTTTTTTATGTTTAAATAGAAAATAAACTTATCTTCTCATCACTTCATCTTCTAAACACCTTGAAATTGGCCTCTGTCTCTTTAAGAACCTCCTTCCGCTTCTGTCTCACCCATTTCGGTGTGTGGGGGGCTGCGCTCGCGAGGGGGGCTGCTGCCATGATGCAGTTTACTTAGCATCTGAAAATACATTTCCTCAAAGGTATTTTTAATCTGAAAAGAGCTTCACTGAGTGAGAAGTAGAGGAGCTCAGTCAGCAGACAGTTTAAGTTTCACTTTCACCCGAGAGCCTGCAGGAGTCATGGGCGGGATGTGTGGGGAAGGGGTGGGGGGATGGGATGGAGGGGAGGAAGTTCGGCTTAAAGACACGACCCAGGGGCATTTCTGGTCCCCACCTGTCGTTTTGCTCCTCAGCATGACTGCCTAAAAATGCTGCAGGATTTCTCAAACATGCATGAATGAGTCAGAGCAAGGCTTTGGGCATGTTTTTTTTATGAGAGTATTACATTATAACAAAATATAAAACTCAAAAAAGTTGATTTTACATGATGTTGCACCTTTAAGATCAAATAAGCTGATCTTGTTGAATGATGTTAAAGCCATTTGTAATTTAAAAAAGCAGGTATTTCAGGAACTGCAAGTTCTTGCTTGTTTAATTTCGGCATTTTGTGGCAATTGACGATGACATTTATCTTTTGTTGTCTGTGTATATTTATAATTTTGCTTTTGTCTGAGTTTGTGTGCTCCTAAAAAGATATTTTTGATCTCAATGATTTTCTTTCCTCTTAATCAAGTCAGTGTAGTTTGGACAAATTGGAGGCTGAATATAATTAGGAAGGAAAGTCACATTCAGTGCACATACAGCAAAAACATTTTTGCAAACCTAATTCTTTAGTGATGTAATTTGGCCTTCATGCTAAAACGTCAAACCTGTTGAGTTGTTTTGAACTGAGAAGAAGAAATTGGTGGAAGAGAAGAACCAGACAAAAAGGGTGAAAATGACTTTTTTTGTAGTGAGAATAGATTTACAGCAGCATTTCARAATGTTTGAAACATTTAATAAAAATCAATGAAAATGCATTTCCTTTACTCACCCTTCAAAGCTACCCCTTTTCTGAGCATTTTCACAAATAATGAGTGGTAAAGACGTGCAACAGAAAAAAAAATAGTTTGAATGCTGCTAAGAATGTCAGTTCTACAACCCTGGAGTCTTTAGGTTAGCTTTATTTCTTTTCCTGTCACATGTTCTGCCCCGTAGCTGTTCAGCTCTCAAGGTGCCCTTCTTGCAGACAGCAATGACAGATTTCTAATAAAAGTCTGCTTGAAAACTCTGGCAAGGTTGTCTTCCTGCACCATTAATGACCAGGTCTCATTTCTAAAGCCACTGCTGGATGAAATGAGCAGCAACGACCAGCTGTTTTTATAGATCTGGAAACTTTATKGTTGACATTATCACGGTTTCATGGCTGTGTTTAATTGGAGTCATGCTGATCAAGTTAACAGGTGTAAAACAAACACGTTTTTTCCCCATAGTTTCTAYATGTGAGGTTCAGCTCGTACTATTTTAAACAAAACCACAAACTGCTTTTTAATTTTGGAGAACTATCATGGATGAGAGGWAGAGATATGTTGGGCAACAGAAAAGAAACTAGATGTGAGGGTGCGTGTGTGCCGGTGGCAACAGTATGTGGCCTTTTGATAAAACTCCCTGTACGGATTGCAGCCCTTTGACCCGCTGCGGCCTGTTCTAGATCATTGCAGCTGTAAAGATGCTTCACTGCATCGCCCTCTGAGACAGCCAGGTCCCGTATTTTTCCTATTGTGACATTTACTGTCCTGCTATCCTGCAATCCTTCTGGTCATTTCTACTTTAAACTCACTTTTGTGTGTGTGTGTGTGTGTGTGTTTTTGTGTGTGTGCAGAGAACTTTTAGAATATTTTTTTCTGTCACCCGAGAGACCAAAACAATTGTTTTTGGATTTTTTTTTTTTTTTGGCTCACAAATATTTTTTCTCAGATTTAAACTCTACAGTTTGCTTCCCTTTCAAAGATATGTGTCAGAATGTGAGTAAATAGCTGCGGGGGAAGAGTAAAATTAATTCATTTAAATGTTTTGATGTGAGAAGATAWGTGTGTTGGTGCTTGTGATTTTTCATAAAACACTTAAAAGTTCATGAAAAAAACAATACTTGTGCAGACTCCAAAGTCTAGATGAGCTTTTATATGTATTAAATTAAGGCAGAAACAAATGGATAAAAATTATCACTTTTTTTTTGAAAAACGTAAAACATTAACCTTCTCGTGTCTTTGTTTCATCCAGGTTCCATCGTGGGGACTACCATATTGACGTGTGCATAAATGACTACCTGGATGTCTACTGCCCTCATTATGAAGACTCTGTGCCTGAAGAGCGGACAGAGCGCTACGTCCTCTACATGGTCAACTACGATGGCTACAGCACGTGTGACCACACCGCCAAGGGCTTTAAGCGCTGGGAGTGCAACAGACCCCACTCCCCAAATGGACCGCTGAAGTTTTCCGAGAAGTTTCAGCTCTTCACGCCGTTCTCCTTGGGCTTTGAATTCAGACCAGGCAGAGAGTACTACTACATCTGTGAGTTTACTATGTTCTATCATACAAAGSATATTTACAGGTTAATTAAAAATGACATTTTTTAATAAGGCTAAAGGCAATCGTAAACCAAAATAAACCCCCAGTATGTTACAGATCAATGTAAAACAAACTATTGCATTACGATGAAGATGTTTTTTTCYTCTTCAGGTAAAAAAACAAAACAAAAAACAGTTATTCAGGAATCAATGGCCCAAATTTATTCCACACAAATCTTTTGTGTTCATCATGGCTTGACTTTGAAAAAATGCCTTCTCCTCATCCTATTGTCAATTCAATTTTATCACTGTTACCAAATTACTAAAGAATGTGAAACAAAATACTCTAACCTGACCTACAAAATTGGATTTCCCTTTCCTAACCTGATGTTTTTACCAGTCCATCAGAGCAAAAGACTCACTATTCCTCAACCACGTTTTCTCTGTCTCAATYCAGAGCTTGTGAAATGGCATAGCAGTGATCTTAGGAGATGCTGTCACACTCTACTTTTAACACTGTTCATGTTGCTCTCTAAAACCTTTTCCCTAAAATGGCACTGGAGTTCAAATTGAGACACTTTAAAAGTTGGAGCTTATTTTCTCTGCTGCACAGCGTTACGATTCCAAAGATGAGTTTTATGCAACATTTTGTTCAACTTGTGGTAGATGTTACGTCGTCCGCTCTTTGACAGTGAAACCGAGCCAAACTGAGTTCAACTGGAGTTAAACCCTTTGGGAAATTAGGCTTCATCAAAGCTAGGTAATAGAGTGAAATGGAGTTGAGGTTCTTCCACCACTACCTACACCCAAATGAGAGTCAGAGGAGTCGCTGTCAGGCGGTGTGCTTGCTGCTATTTGTTCAAAGTACATTTGCCACAAGGATACTTTGATCATTCCAAAAGAAGTATTATACATGTTTTTTTATACTTCAGCTGTTGAAGAAAAGCTTTAAAGATTTTCCCCCTCTCAGCTAAGATTTGTACCTTTCTGTCTGTGTGGTTTGACCTGTGGTGTTAATGCAGCTCAGGGTAGTTGTCAAATCCTCGTGTCTCCGTGTGTTCTTCCACTCTGAGACACCTTTGAAAGAGTTGGGGCCAAAGCTGAGCCAAGCTCCGCGCTCTGCTTTATAAATTGGCACCTTTTTTTATGAAGCAGTTAACCTGACAGCCAGCCAAGAGTTCTGCGCTTTATTTATTTCATGTTTTGCTCTCTGACCATGCAATGTTGTAATTCACAGTTAGGGACTTGAGGTAGAGTAGGTGAAACAAAAGGAGACACTCTACAAGTCGTAGCTGTTGCCTCAGTGATGAATAGTTGTTGTCTTTCCCAATTTTGTCCACAAAAAAAATAATAATAAGGCTTTTCACCATCCTGGTGTTAGTTCCATTTGTCTGTTAAAAAGTAACCAGATTTACTTTTCACTTTATTGCCAATTTGCTTTGACAGWCAAACCAAATGAGATGAGGGGAAAAAAATGAAAATCTCGTAACTTAGAGATGGGGGTTAGAGTAGGGTTATAAAATTCATCCTCTCCCCCCAAGTCTAATATGTTTTTTTTGCTCCCATTTTTGTTGAGAGATGCTTGTCCTAAGGGCTGGATTAAATTACACTGCGACCGACAAGGCTTCCATGGAACACATCCATTTCGCTGTAGCACGCCATATTGGTTTAGTGGCCTGCGGCTTCATTGGCTATTGAATGATTCTAGTGTATAGCCTTGCTGGCTACTGTAGCGGATATTAAAGTCATCTACCATGAAGTCATCTAACATGTGATATTCCGCTGCCGTTGTGTCCAGCCTGACTCTCCTTAAGAAACAGGGGAGCTAGCTGCTGATGGATTGGACAATCACTTTAACAGATCAAATGTAAAGCTGCAGGAAGAATGAGAAGAGAAAATTACATTATTAGACCAGTCAATTCTTCTGCAGCTTTGGATAGGAATCCTACCACCATCGCCGCCATCATCATCATCATGAATAAAAGTCTTTCTCCATTATTTTTAACTTTTTTTATAATCTTGCATAGATGCTATTTGCCTTAAGACTAAATAAAGCAGTGATAAATACAATTTTAACCAACAACAATTAAGTAAACAGAAACAGCTACAAATTTAATTATAACTTTTTTTCCTTTTTTTAACCCCAAAATGAGTACAAGCTAATTAGTGTGYTATATTAATCTATTTAATCTCTTCAAATAATTAATTTTGGCTTAATGCACGATYATGACCAAAAATCTGTTAAATCAATCACAAGATAAAAGTGTGAAAAAATACACTAAAAACAACTGGATTATTTTGGGCACCAATCGTTAAAATTGCAGAACAGAATGCAGCTTTCTRAAGCCTCTGCTGTGATTTTGTTGGCTGTGTTTCAGTAGTTTTTGTCGTTCAGAAATGTGGATGCTTATATAGCATTTTCTAACATTTAACCTTCTTGTTATTTTAAAAAAATAATTTGTCTTCAATTTTGTGGTGAAATTCARTCTAATTATTGCTGCCAATTGCAAATTAACAGTTTTTAAACTAATTAAACTTTACATATTTCAG